TGGTCACACTGTGAGGGGAGTAGGTCACACTGAAAGGGGAGAAGGTCACACTGTGAGGGGAGGTGGTCACACTGTGAGGGGAGTAGGTCACACTGTGAGGGGAGGTAGTTATACCGTGAGAGGTCACACTTCAAGAGGCAAATGTCCAAAAATCTGTTTACAATCTAGAGCAGCGTTTGTCTTGGATAAACTAAAATTCCCATTTTGTGATCTTACACTAATTACCCTGACGTCATAACCTCATCGTACAATGAGTCAGAGTCTTTGTAACTTTAGTTAAGTTCATTGCTTTATTTTGGTTTGATATGACTCCCAAAAGAATTAAGAAAGAATAAACCTCTATACATTGCAGAATATACCCACGGGGGTGTGTTGGTGGCACTCACGGTTTTCACTGCCTCTAATACGGAGCTGCAAGCACCAGCTGGCTTCTCCCTCTCACTGCCTTTTGGGGACGCTTTTAAATCCAAATTCCTGGGACCTCCACTGACTGTTTTTCCAAATGTTAGGGTATATAATCTCTGACATCTACTCATGTCTAGCTTAAAAAACCAGTGATAATCATATTAAGTCTCCATATAGCGTAAATCTATTTTTCTTTCTTTAATTCCTACCATTAATAAATTAATGATCCAGTAAAAACCCTGCAAGTAATCACTTTTTCTTTCTGCTCATAATAAAAATAACTATTGGAAGTCAAAATAAGTATACAAATTCCATGGGACTTCTTTAGGGTGATGTTCAAGGATCTCATTGTTCAAAAATCACATAGCTTGGCCAGGCATGGTGACTCATGCCTACAATCCTAGCACTCTGGGAGGCCAAGGTGGGAAGATTGTTTGAGCACAGCAGTTTGAGACCAGCCTGAGCAAGAGTGAGACCCTGTCTCTACTAAAAATAGAAAAACTAGCCAGGAGTTGTGGCAGATACCTGTAGTCCCAGCTACTTGGAAGGCCAAGGCAGGCACTTGAGCCAAGAATTTGAGCTCTACAGCACTCTACCCAGGGCAACTGAGTGAGACTCTGTCTCTAAATCAATCAATCAATAAATAAATAAATATGTTTCTATGTATTTTTTTTAAAAAGAACACAGCTCAAACCTGGGTGAAGTACTTTTTACAAGGACCCAGGGAGATATTTCAAATAGAATGACACGGTGACTGCAGATTCCGGATGGGGTGTGTGTGTGCAGGTGTTCACTGCACAATTCTGTCAGCTTGTCTCTATGTCTGAAAATGTCTGGAATGAAATACTGGGAAAATCCCTAAATATTATAATGATGCATAGCGTATGACTCTCAGCTTCAAATAACTTTATTCTGAGCTGTATCTTTAAAAAAAATAATGAAATTTGACTTTAATATAAATTTATTCTAAGGTATTTAAATTTTGTTTCTTGGTGACTGAAACCAAGTAAAGGAGTTTTCAAGTAAAAATGTTTAATTGCTTCTTTTCTTATTTTTAAAACAAATGTAATCTACAGATTATTTCTGTCTGAAAATCAAGGGCTTAAAATAACTAAATCCTGGTAGGTGCCTGTGGCTCAAAGGAGTAGGGTGCTGGTCCCGTATACCAGAGGTGGTGGGTTCAAACCTGGCCCTGGCAAAAAAAAAAAAAAAAAATTATAATAATAATAAAATAACTAAATCCCTGGCGAATCTTGAGGACGTTCTGGTAAGTGATCTAAGCCAGTCACAGAGGACAAACACCATATGACTCCACTCCTACAAGCATCAGCATAGTCAAAATCATGGAGACAAGACTAGAATAGGGCTTGCTAGGACTGAGGGGAGGGGAAACGGAGAGTTATTGATTCGCAGGGACAGAGTTTGGGCTGAGGAGGACAGGAAAAGTTCTGGAGATGAATGGTGGCAATGATCCACAACAATGTGAATTACTTATAGCAGTACATTGAGTACTGTACACTTAAACGTGGTTAAAATAATAAGTTGTAATGTTACATGTTATGTATAATTGCCACACACTTTAAAACTTATTTTAATATAAAGGCTGGATGGAAAAAAGTTACCATCCTTGGGGAGCTGAGCACTGTCCTTTTGAATTTGGGGGGTGTTTGTCGCACTGTGTAGCCCTCGGTAGAGTGCTGTGACATCACAGCTGACAGCCACCTCAAACTCCTGGGCTCAAGTGATTCTCTTGCCTCAGCCTCCTGAGTTGCTGGGACTACCGGCCCCGACCACAACACCCAGCTGTTTTTAGAGATGGGGGTCTCGCTCTGGCTCAGGCTAGTCTGGAACTTGTGACCTCAGACAATCCACCCGCCTCAGCCTCCCAAGTGCTGGGATTGCAGGTGTGAGCTACCGCGCCTGGCCCACTTTTAGCAAAACTGCCCTGTCACTGTGCAGAATTAAAGTAATTTCTCTATTTTACAGGAGGAAACCCTTCCTTCCATAGAACAGTTGGCCCATCAGATCGAAGATGAAGACTTAAGACTGAAGGAGAAGCCCAGGGCGTACCTCAGAAGAGTTTACAAGGAAACCATCTACAAGCCCCTGGTGGAGAGGAGCATCCTCGACTACTTGCACTATAACTATAACCACCTGCCCATGTACGCGTGGCCAGGCATCATTTAGCTGTGGCCCGGGTCCCCACTTTATTGTTTTCATACATTTAGTTCCTGGAAGTGCTCTGTGGAAAACAGAAAAGGTCTCTGAAGCCTGGCTTGACAACCAAGTGCCAAGGGTCCCCACGGTTTTGTGGTTTCTTCTTCCACCCCGATTTACGCCTGTAGTTTGCTATTGTTCCAGTAGGTGGCGCGCAGCCGTGCGTCGCTACTGTGGGGCAGGGACGATTTGCAAATAGCAGGCATGTTCCCGTGCAGAATAATCAATCCAGTTTAGCAATAAAATGAGATCATACTGTGGAAAACTTCTTTTTTACGTTGGGTATCATTCTGTGTCGATTTCCTTGACTTTTCTGCCACCAACCTCGTTAGTTCTTCACGTGTTTATTCAGTAATACTTGTGGGTGGTAAAAGACAATCACTGCTCAGAGTGAAAAATTAGTAAAGCAGATGATGAGATATTAAATCTGTCGTCCAGTATCAGGAGCTCTGGTTGTGTAGGAAATCTTACATGACCTTTAGAAAGAGGCTGCTGTAAAGATATGAAAAACGGGAGGATCGAGGGACTGACACACAGATACTAGGTTTTAACTTAATAATGGGAAATTAATCTAGTTTATTTTCACTGACCCTTAACACCATGGTTGGGGGGGCAGGTCCTCTAGTACAAGCTGCCTGTAATGCAGATCAGAAGGTCTTTCTCTTATAAATAGAGAAATTAAGTTGCCCACTACAAAACACAGATTCGGGAAATAGTGGGAACAACACATAAGAAATTATTTTTATTTATTTGTGTCGTATCTCGCTTAATAGACAGTGTGACACAATTTTTGGCCAGCAGGGGTTAAAATTGGTTTTCATAAACAAAATTCCAGTTTCTGTTCCTTTTTTATATTTACATTAACATTTAACAAAAACTGGCACAATTGCAAGGATTACACAGCTATTAAGAGGAAAAGTCGGAGTTGGCATTACAGAATTATACACACATTATCAAACTCTCTGCTCCCAACTCCTTAATTATTTGGAACTGCAAAGTCATTTGACGTTTCTCAAAAATAAAATTGTTCCCAAACACTGGACTCTGATTTTCCAAGCCTAGCAAAAGCAAGCAATAAACACCTCTAATTCCTTCACACAAACATACATTTTACACAAATGCATGGGTCATTTAAGGGAGGACTCGGCCCTGGCCATATGGTACAAACTGTGTAACAGGAATGGGGAACGATAGCTACTGGTTCACTCTTCAGAATTCAGACCCAACACACGTGCAACCATATTTCAGGGGCTGGTGAATGAGTCAGCTCAAGTGCAACTCCCTGGTCACCTTCCCCTGAGAGGACCTGGATCAAACTCATCAGCAAATGGAGTGAATTTCTGTGACGGGTCCTGGGACCTTTAGATGAAGATTAACAGAACAACCTCAGAGGATCAACAGTTATGACTTCTGTGACCAAGCATTAGCATTAAAAAGCCTCCAGTCACAAAAAACTGGCCCCAAATGACAATGTCAACCTTAACACCAAATCATGCATAAATCTGACAATAACAGTTGTCCTCTGCTGCCTTTTAAAATGTAGTCTTGAACCTCCATAGGTAAAGCATCAGATTTGAAAATATTTAGAATATGTCTTAGTTTACAAAGCATATTGTGTCACACTCAGAAAGTGGGCAATTCCCTGAACTGGGGAATTTAACAGGTATGCAAAATAACTTCCAGAATTGAAGAATTTTAACATATCTGTCCAGACGCAAGAGCTTTATCACTGAAAAACAAGCTACCTAAGAATAAAAGAATAATTCAAGAGTTGTTGGTCATCACTTGATAGTGGCTGTATTAAGAGCTTTGGGAGATAAAGCTGATGATAAAGCTTAGCAAAAGAAAGGGTTTCAAGAGATCCAGTTTTGGACTTGGTGTGCGCCAGCGGTAAACCCTGCTGAGACTAAGGCATTCTTGAAGTCCTACATATTTCAGCATTTGCTGTTGAGCTGGGGACATCTTGGGCTCTAAGCCTAATCTTCAATGGTTGTAAGCAAAGAACACAGGTATTGACAAGAAAAATGCCAAAGTTAATTTTCCAAAGTTTTATTCTCCCCAATCACACGCAGCGCCCCTGCCTACTGACGCCTAATGATCTCCCTACCAAGTCAGCTTGTAATGAGGAATGTAGCCTTCTTCCTTCCAAAAAGGGCCCCTTGTGGTTTTACTGCACTCAAATATCACGGAAGGCAAAGGGAAATAAAAGATGAAGTGAGTGCGGGATGGAAACACTGCATGGAGGATAAAGTGTAAAGCCGGCCAGTCAATATTTACCCTTCGAAGAGGGGCAGAGAGAGAGAGCCGGACGCGCGCAGCCGGGCGAGCGAGCGTGAGCCAAGAAACAGGCAGAGGGGCTGGAAAGTCGCAGTGTGCGAGGGCTGCCGATTGTTTTCTGGTTGAGAGAAGAAGTGATGATAAGGCCGGGATAAAGTAAGCGCCGGGAACGGGGCACGGAGCCCGGCAGCTGTATGCTAATGCTCGCAGAAACCAAGCCTCCGCGTCCCCCATTAAAGCAGGCGACCAGGAGGCCACACATCACTGAACAAATAGGCTCTCTCAAGACAAATAAAATAACACACGCTGGCTTGTGGGGAGGAGGCGGGAGGGGGAGCAAAGGCAGAGAATGGGAGAAGAGTGAAGGCGGGGGAGAGAGAAGGGACTGGGAGAGAAGACAGGAGGGGCAGACCTGGAGCCGAGAGGGCCAGGAAGAGGGGGAGGAGAGACTCGAGGGCGAGGTGGAACAGGTGGGGAGCCAGAGTGGAGGGGGAGAAAGAAGGGAAGAGACGAGGAGGGAGGGAGGGAAAGTCCCCGAGAGACAGAGAAAGAGGATGGAAAGAGGAGGGAGCGAGGGCGGTGGCGGGAAAGACGCCCTGCCCACCCCGAGAGCAGGAGCCCAAGCCGGGGCAGAAATTGCGCCGGGGCCCGAGCCCAGCTGCCTACCGGCCCCCGGGGCAGGTGAGGCCTGGGCGCACCAGGAAGACGTGGTCGTTGCGGCCCGGCCTGTTTCACTCGGGGTTTCGGTTCGTTTTCTGAGACTGAGGCGCTCGAGCAAGAGACCGCCGGCACCGCACAGGTGGAAACAGAGCTCCTCTCGCCTCTGGTTATGTGTCATTTTTGGTTGGTTCAGTGTCCTCTCAAGTCGCCTTGGCCTGCTTTCGCCAGGACAGCTCTTCCCGACGCCCAGCCTGGTCCTTCTGCCCCCTTTAGCTCCCGGGCCCCGACGGTCCTACCCAGGCAAAAACAAACAGCCCCGAGGGCACTTCAAGGAGCGTGCAGTGGCCCCGACGGCACACGCAGGGGGATAAAAGGGACGGCCAGCCACCCGGTCGGCCCCAGGCCGAATAATGGGCGCGCAGCAGATTGCCAGGGGGCACTCGAAACTCGAGGGGAGGGAACTACTTGAGCGCGGTCCCTCCCGCGCCCAGCGCTCGGTGCAGCCTAGCGGATCCCCCTTGTTCGCCCTCTTTCATGCGCTCTCCTTTTGTGTGGAATTATTTAAACGCGAGATCCCGGGCAGCTTTATGCTAATGCACCGAACAAAGGCTGCGGGCCGCGGGCGGGGGGCCTGGAAGGTGCCCGGAGGCCAGGCCGGGCGGGGCGGGACCCGGGCAGGCTGGCTGCGCGTGTCTCTCGCGTGCCCCTGGGACTGACACAACAACCCCTCATTCCTGCAAACACAAAGCTTCTCCCGGACTCCGGCCCGGCGCGCTAGGCGCAAGGAGGCGGGGGTCGGGGGGCGTCCCTCCGGGACCTGGAGGCCGGCACTGTAGCTGTAACGCGTGGCTCCTGCCGGGTTGTGGCTTGCAGGGACCGAGGGCCGGGAGTAGGGGCTTCTGTGGAGCCAGGTCGGCGGCAGAGTAAGGACAAGGGAGACGCTGACAACTCCCCTCCCGGTTTCCCCAAACGCCCTAACTGCCGAGGAGTGGAAAGGCGGACCCGCCCGGGCCCTCCCGTGAGTTCAGGGGCTTCGAGTACGCCTTGGACACCTCAAGGAGCCAATTCCTCCGCGAAAGTTTCCGCTTTAGCGTCCATTTCCAAGCGACTCTCCTAGAATCTCCCTGGAATCTTGACTTTCATTCGAAGCCTAGTTTGGGGGTGAGTGGGTGGGTGTCACAGTGATCCCCGGCGCACCCCGTGACGGCGGCCCTGCACACCAGGACAGAAGGACTTGGCAGCGTGTGCGGGGTCCAGCTCGGCAGCCGTGGACGGAAAAGCCCACGAAGGGCTGGCTCTGAACTGACAAGAGGCCAAGCGGCCCCCCTGGATTTTTACCACGCGCTGGCCAGGGCGCGGCCGAGAGAAAAGATGTGGCCTGGGGCCGAGAAAGCTCACGTTGATGCCTCCCCTGAATCTTCCTGCTCGCCGACTGCAGTGAAGCCCCCTCGGAGGGGGTCAAATCCACACGCAGTGTTTTCCCAACTTAACTCCACGCGGCCCCTGTTGCGAATTGCAGTGCGCATTCTGGCCGGCCACAGGCGCGCAGTGTTGCGGCGCTTAGCTCTTCCCAGAGGAAGACAAATAATCTCGATCCGATGTCCCTATCCTGGCGGACACGCAGATTCTGAGAAAATCACGCAGAAGGCTGAGGAGACCCACAAACCGGTGCTCCGATACACCTGCTTGCAAGTTGCTGCGTGCGGGAAGCGCGCGTGTAGCTTAATTCTCGCCAGCTGGGGGTGATAAAATTAGTTTCCAATACTTTGTACCTTTCAAGTTTCCATTTATTTTGACTTTAGCGTCTGAAAGCAGATTTCATCTCCGTCGACAAGATTAAAAACCACAAATAAAAAGAAACTGATCCACTGGACCTCAGTATCTCAGAGTTCAGTGGAGTATCTTGGCTAAATTCAGAGCTGTTTGAATTTACTGAGGCAGGAGTTTTGATTTTTTCTTTTTTTTTTTTAGTGGAGGTAGTGTTGCCCTCTATGCCTTATTTACAATTATGGGTGTGGTTGTTCTTAAGGATT